TCTCTCTCTCTCTCTCTCTCTGTTTCGGTGAATTCGATAAATGTCTAATGTATTTTATACGGGATAAATAAATGACGAGCGAGTGCAGATACGTGCATTTTTACATATTATCACAAGCATAAATCGTTGAGGTATGCAAAACAGGCGACACGTGATTGAAACTTCCATTTGCACTTGAAGTAGCAGTTTCCTAGAAAATCTCCTTTACGTGGAAATAAACACATCTGCTATCTGTTCGTCGCTATGCTCAATTGAACCACGGGGAAGCTCAATTGAATTCAATAGGGAAGTTACGCGACGAGGGAACAAGCGAAAAATGTATCAATTGCGTGGACGCCGCGATGATAATTTTTAAATGGAATGAACGAGGATTGATCGAGAGATTAGAAATTCAACGATTAACCATTTATTAACGGTGTAACTTGCGAATCTCACATCCGTATTTTATATATATATATTATTTATTTTTATAAATATTATTTTATTTATATTTATCGTATATTTTATTTATATAAATATCGATACAATGCAATTGATAAAAGATAAATAAATGAAAACAGACACGTGGAAGATTAAAGAGAATGAAGCGACGAACGAATAAACTAAACGTTGTTACAAATTAATAACGTGGATGTTGAATCATCGTACGATATTTCACAGATACGTAACACAAACTTCAAACATTAGTCCCTGAACTATCGCCAAACACATTTGCTACATCAACGATGTTTGTTTAATTAACAGCTTAACATATTCACGATAACATCAGATTTGTTAGCTTGCTCCGAATTATACGCAAATATTGAATCTGATAATAACTTCGGAACGCGATTAAGTTTCATCTACCGAGTATTACAATGTAACGAGCTCGAAAATCAATTTTCGTTGGCCTCGAGGATCTTAAGGAAACGCGTTTAAAAAAAAAAAAGAAAAAAAATGGCTAAAATTTTCGACACTTTCTACAGTTAATTCGATGAGAATACAACGCGTTTAATTTACATCGAAGAGGTACACTCTTTGGTTGTAAAATCGATAATTTATTTCAGATGTCACAACGAGTTGCGATAGACTACTTGAATGATTGAATAGATATTGAATTGCATATTACTTTTATGAACACGATAGAAATCTTGCATCCGTTTCTTTCTTTCTTTTTTTTTTTTTTTTTCCTCCCACTCTGTCATATTCGTATTCTTCTTAAACGTCAATTTCTCGAACTTATCTTCTGAAATAAATCGAAAGACGAAAGTCGTCTTTCTCCGAGAGGAAGCATTTCTCAAACAATTCTAAAACTAAGTCTTTGCCTGTGTAATCTACTTCGTATAATCCTACCATCATTTCCCTGGCCTTTTAAACTTCAGCCTGTCAACTAGACGTCGAAGTCGACATCAAACAAACCTTCTTCATTTGTATACGTATTATTCACGTAGAACGTAGAAAATTATATGCCACGAGTAGATAAGAAATGGAATATTAATCAGTGTGCTCGATAAAACGGAAGCCTCAAGTGTTATCTAGAAAAGCGAAACGTGCAAACGTGCAAATATTTTACATTGGCCAGAATTAAATATTGTTTATCTATCCTATCCTAAGCAGCGGAGACGCCTCCACTCGTCGTTCATT